GAGACGGGGTCTTGCTCTTGCTCAGGCTGGTTTCGAACTCCTGAGCTCAAAGAATCCGCCCGCCTCGGCCTCCCAGAGAGCTAGGATTACAGGCGCGAGCCACCGCGCCGGCCCACAGCCCATATTTGAGGAGGAGGGACTTATGCTTTACTTCTTTTAAGTGCAATATCTACGTAAATTATTTGCAGTTATTCTGAATAGATTTATTGTTTTCTCTTTATTCATTCATTTGTTTATATCAGTAGGGACTACTCGTATTTATTTTATACTTTGGGTTATAATACAATACTATGTTATTTATTTTGTTGCTCAAATTGTTAATTTTTGACCTTGAGAGCTCTTTTAGTTGGCTTCTGTGTTCCTTTGACATAAGAGACATTTTATTTTTTGAGTACTTCCTTCCTTTCTAGTGGGGGTATGTCATACATTTGTAAGACAGATTCTTTTGTCACAGTCGGCATCCCATCCTGGCATCCCCCATCCTCTTAATTGATTTTTCAAAATTTTGCACATATCAGGTTCACTCTTTGTACAATTCTATAGGTTTTGACATGTACATAATGTCATGTATCTATCACTGCAGAATTATGCAAAATAGTTTCACTGCCCTAAAATATGCCCTGTGTTTTTCCTGTTCAGCCCTCTTTCTAAACCCCTGGCAACGCAAACACTAGTCTGTTTTCTGTCTTGAAAGTTTTGCCTTTTCCAGAATGTCATATAAATGGAATCATACAGTATGTCACATTTTCAGCCTGGCTTCTTTCACATGGCACTTAAGATTCATTCATGCTGTTACATGAATTGTAGTTTCTTCTTATTGCTTAACAGAATTCTATTGTATGTATGTTCACCAACGTTAATCCATTCATCTATTGAAGAACATCTTGGTTATTTCTAGTTTTTGACAATTATGAGTAAAGCTGTATAAACATGTGTACAGGTTTTTGTGTGGACATAAATTTTTAAATCAGTTGGAAAAACACTTAGGAGTGTGATTGCTGATGTGTGCTATGAATATGTTTAGGTTATGACTGCTTAACTGTCTTCTAAAGTGGCTGTACCATTTTGCATTCCTACCAGCAATAAGTGAGTATTCCTGTTGCTCCATATCCTCAACTGTTATTGTCAGTTTTTTGGATTTTAGCCATTTTAATAGGGGTGCGATAGTATTCTTGTTGTTTAAATTTATATTTTCTAATGACAACGTTGAGCATCTTTTCTTTTCTTTTCTTTTTTTTTTTTTTTTTTTTTTTTAAAATAGAGATGGGGTCTCGTTCTTGCTCAGGCTGGTCTCGAACTCTTGAGTGCAAACGATCCGCCCACCTTGGCCTCCCAGAGTGCTAGGATTACAGGCTGTGAGCCACTGTGCCCAGCTGAGCATCTTTTCATATGCTTATTTTCCATCTGTATATATTTTCTGATGAGTTGTTTGTTAAACTCTTTTTCCCATGTTTTAATTGGGTTGTTATTGTTGAGTTTTAAGAATTCTATGTATATTTTATCATATATGTATATTGTACTTTATCATATATGTATATTGTAAATGTTTTCTCCCAGTGCGTGGTTGTCTTTTTATTCTCTTAACAGAGGAGCAAGTTTTTAATTTTAGTGAAGTTCAACTGATCAGTTTTTCTGACACAGATTGTGCTTTTGGTATTGTATCTAAAATATTATTACAAAACTCAAGATCATACAGATTTTTTCCATGTTTTCTTCTGGAAGTTTTATAGTTTTGCATTTTACATTTAGGTCTATGATCCATTTTGAGTTAATTTTTTTTGTGTGATATAAGGTCTCTCCTAAGTTCATTTTTCTACATATGTATATACAATTTTGAACAGTTTGTTGAAAAGATAGTCTTTCTTCATTGAATAACTTTTACAAGCCTTTGTCAAAAATCAGTTGAGTAGTATATTTGTGTGGGTTCGTTTCTCAGCTCTCTGTCCTGTTCCACTGATTTGTTTATTCTTTCACCAATGCTATGCTGTCTTGATTACTGTAGCTTTGTAGTAAGTCTTGGGAAATGGGTGGTATGAGTCCTCCAACTTTATTCTTTTGCAGAATTGTGTTGGCCATCGTAGGCCCTTTGCCTCTCCATATAACTCTTAGGGGGACATTCACTGAATTTTAAAAACTACAAACTAAAATTGAAATGGTTACTCCTCAGAACTGCAGTATAAATGGGATGTTTCTTTAATTATTTTTTCAGATGGTTCTTTGAAGCTCTGAAATATCCTAAGTTTTCCAAAGCTAATGTCATCAATGGAATACTCATGACAGTGGTGTTCTTCATCGTGCGGATTGTCTCAATACCTCCTTTGTATTGCTTCATATATTCCGTGTATGGAACAGAACCCTACAGAAGGCTTGGATTATTAATCCAATGTTCCTGGATCTCGTCCTGTGTTGTTTTGGATGTGATGAATGTCATGTGGATGATCAAAATTTCAAAAGGGTGCATCAAAGTCATCTCTCTCATCAGACAAGAGAAAGCCAAAAATAGTCTTCAGAATGGAAAACTTGACTAACGGTTGCGCTATTGATAAGCAAACTTCATTACTACCCATCATTTTATCTACTGATAGGATGAATTCTTGGCATGTTTTTGTGCTTCTTTATTAATTATAACTGTTATTCAGGGTTTCAGTGTCTTGGTTTATTTTTACCTTTAGAAAGAGAAACTAAAATTTAGTTTTCATTCTAAGATTTCTTTCTGCTTTTCTTCTGCATTATTTATAAGCATGGATAAAATCTTAAAGGTTTGAATAAAAATTATAAATATAGTAGTGAATCTTTCCAGAAATCTCTTAACCTGCATTGGTATTTTTCTCTGTAGAAAGAGGACTATGATAATTTGGTGCACTTGGTTTTATGTCACCAATTTTGCTGGAAGAACGGGAACTGCTTTTAAATCTGTAAATAGCCCTTAACATTTGTTGTCAAGCACTCTTTTCTTACTTTGGCTGCCAACACCTGTGTAGGGTTTAATTTCGAAATTGTAGACATGTTCTTTTTCTTAGGCTATTTAAGAATGATACATTTTTCATTTCCGATGTGCAGTCATCATCTACTAACGATGAAATATTTTACCACTTGGGAAATATTTCATTAGTTAGGCATGGAAAATACTTACTTCATTTTAATATTTTTCAGATGTCACTTTCTTATTTCTATTTTTAGCATTTTATCAAATTACTGCATTTTTATGTTCTAGTAAGGCTTCAGAAAGATTTTATAGACTTCCTTAAGAGATGAATTTCTTCTAAAAATGCATGTTGATAGATGATTATTTAGGGCCTATGGCTAATAAGAAGACATCATTAAGGAAAAAGCTTTAACACTATTGTCCCTATCTGCTTCCCTTGCATTTTTCTGTGAAAAATTTATTATTTCTATTTTTAAAATCTATGAGTTCAGAACCTAACATCATCAGTACCAAAGTCTTATGCAATATGTATTTATTGTGCTCCTAAAATAGGCCTCTTCTTGATGAGATCCAAACTACTACAAAAGAAAATCAGTATTCATATTTTACTCACAATTTACACCCATGCTTGCTTAGTCAGCATTTTGAGTGCTTTGTGTTTCTATCTTTCTTAAAGGATAGAAAGAAAATAAGATAATTTAATCCAAGTATTCTGATTATCAAAATTATTGTCTGGTTATGTGAAAATATATGACTGGTGATTGTGTGTGTGTGTGTGTGTGTGTGTGTGTGTGTGTGTGTGTTTGCTTTTACTTTGTTTCTTGCAATCCAAATATAAACTTATATATTTATCTATTATTGCCTTTATTTATTTTTTCAAGTACTTGACTTTAATGATTGTTCTTGCCTAAGGAAAAAAGAAATTTAATTCAACTGGTGGTGAATACTTGAACTTAATTAAACCCAAGTCAAAAGATCTAATCCATTCAGTTTCTCAGTTTGAAAGGATAATGTTTGACTCTCTTTCAATGTTCATGCTATATTGATGAAGGAAGGCTAACTAAATATAATCAAGACTTTTGATTTGATTTGATTTGGTTATCCAGTGCAGATAGAGCCTGATGAGCTTTAGAACATTTAAAGAAAGGAATTGAAATCTTAATCAATAACTAAATGATAAAATGAGATTGATTGGCTTATACTAGGCACATTTATTTTTGAAAGAATTAAGTAATGTAAAGTAGTTATTTGTTTTTAAAAGTTAATATTACATTGATACTAAATTTAGTGCTGTCCACATCATAGACACTTAAATATATATTGGTTGTCTAGAGGGGACAGGAAAGCAAGTGATTTCATCTTGTTCTTGCTCTTTTGCAAGAAAAGTGGCTTTTTAAAAAAGGAAAACATTTATATTATAAAACTATTTTGGAAATTCATTCATTTGAAAGAATAAAAACCTTGAAAAAAAATAAACCTTGAAATAGTATTTTTGACTCTGGATATTTCTATAGTTCTGAACACAGATTTTAAACCCACCATCAAAATGAGGATGATATAAAGCTATAATATCAGTAAGTCTCCATGTTGCAGTTTCAGGTTTTATAGTTACTGTTTCATGCTTAAAACTTCATTTTTACTTTCATTAGCATTACCTTTCATTGGTATAGCTGCTACCAAATTAATATATTTAAAATACTAAAGTTCTGAACTAAGATTTTTTTATTCCCTTAGCAATCTGATCCTTATGCTAGCTGCATGACAGTTAATTCAACATCCAGATTCAATATGCAAAAGTGGGTTCTATGTATTTCCTCATACAACAGACATAAAATGGAAATGCTACTACAAACTGTCATGCTACTCTAAGTGTGACCTTTACAGGAGATATACTTTGCTGTTCTGTGATTGTATGTACCTACCTAAAATACATATAAGGACAGAACATATCATTTATTAAAAGATGAATTTTTCATTTATTAAATGACAAACTTTTGCTAGACATTTTAGATATTAAGTATTTTAACTACATGGATTAATTTAAATGATTCTATCAGGCATTCTGATATTTAACAACTCTATTAAAATATTTATAGAAAATAAAAGCAAATTGGTATAAATTTTTAAGCAATTCTATTTTTGTAGAAAAGATTAGTGACAACCTGTAATTATAAAGATGTTCTTTGAATGTGTAGTATTCTAGAAAATAAAAGTTCTTGTGAAACTTAAAAATGAATGAAAATCAGCTTATAGCATGCAAGATCATAGATCTTGCATTGAATTTTTATTTGTAAGAATGTAAAAATTATGAGTTTTAGTTTATAGAGTTTGCATTCTTGTGTCTAAAATCATTTTAAGGATTATTTGCATTTATTTAAAACTAAAAATGGAGTTATACGAGTACAAAGAAATTAATTCCTGCTTAAATTATGTTTTGATACCCTATAGTAAGTTGAAATTAAATTTGTATTCCAACTGTTTGATTTTGTTATTTCATGGACTAACCCTACATTAAGAAAAATAATAAGTTATGTTGTTACCATCCCTAACAGTGACTCTGATATATTATGGATGACCTAGGACTGTCTTAAAGGTCTAATTTAAAAAACTGTCTAGTTTATAGGTATTTGAATCAAATTCTTTTCTAAATTTTAATAATTTGACTCAAATCAAATTTTTACTGAAGTGTCAGTTTTTAAGTCGTATGCTTTCTCTGAGGCACAGTGGGCATTTGGAGAACAGTCCTTTACTGGTGTGAAGAGTCAGCTTTACCGTGGGTTGCACCATGTTATCATGCATTCGGAAACATTCTTATGGAGATATAGAGGGGAAAGTATTGTAAAGTGCATGTTTCTGTGTCATTTTAAAGCAAAATAAACATTCAAAAGATGCTATTAAATATTTGAACAAGTTTCTGTTTCTAAGCCGCTGTTAACTCCAAAATGTGAATGTGCATTTGAATTGGCTTTAAGTGGTTTAGTCTGTTAGATGAAATCGAAAAGCCCACAAATTTGTTAACGTCGATAATACTTCATAGAAGTTTCTGTATTTGTATATGTTTTGGATTCCAAAAGAAGGAAACTTGTATAATTTTATCAGAAGACTGTCACCAGTGTTTCTTAACAAGTACTGAGCCAGCATAGCGATGATAACCTTCCTGTGTCTCCGGGTGCACACACCTTCCCAGCCTTAGGTACAGCTGGCTGATGGCAAACACACAGAAGCTACCGAAAGTGAGTTCTGACGAAGAACACTTGGATGTGTGCAGGAACAGCGAAGAGCTAGCAGGACTAGGACTTAGAGGAGACGTTGAGACTGCTTTTCCCCTAATAGCTGTGATGGTCCTCTCTTGATCTAGAATTTTTTTCACTGAATCCTTCCAGACCTTCCATCTCTTCATCCTGTTACCCCAAAGACTTGATCAGCACCTCCCTCCCTTATGCCAACACCTTCCTCTGTCAACTTTTGAGACTCTATATATCTGTAAGCTTCCCAGTCTCTTGTGGCAAATTTAAAGGTTTACAAATAGGTTCTGTCATTGAAAAAAGCATTGTAGCAAATTTATGTAGAGCTCAAACTATAATTTATTAAGAGGCTACAGGAAGCCATTCAGCATTTAATAATACCTGTTTACAACACGAGGCAAAGCTAATAATGTTACAGTTTTATTAAGAGACATCTGTAATCTTTTAAACTGGTTTAGCAATAAGAGCTTTATAACGTGTTTCAGCTGGGGATTTATTGTAGGCGTGTAAATTACCTAAATGTTATTTTAGGACCCCATGACAGGAGCTGGGAGGAACTGAGGTAATTCTTTGTTATGAGAGGGGGTGCTGGCTTGTGGCAGAATTATTTTCAGAGTCGTGCTCTTTCATAGGGCAAACTTTGCTATGATAGTGTTTCTATAAAAACAAGCTTACCAGCAAATGGGATACTTGGTGTTTTCCAGAGTACAGCACCCAGGGACTTAAGCCTTACCCCTTTCCATGCTAGACTTCACACAGCCTCTGCTTGCTTTGATAATGTCAGACCTTTGTTCGAAGATGTCTGGGGCAAAAGTGAAGAATTGAAGGCAGCTCCTGAAGACTGGTTTGTTTGCATTCAAAATGTTTACACTTCTGAGCAGCAGACAGTTTTTATATTAGGCCCTGTATAAAAAACCAAAACCAGTGAGAAATATTTCTAAATCTCAAAGATTTATAAGTACAATACCTCTGGCTGAATACTCGTTAAACATCCTCCATATATTTTTTTCTTTCTATCTTTGTGTAATTCTTTCTGTAATTAAGTGTGGATTAGAGTTGTTTGCTACTTCTTGGTTAATGAAGCCTAAAAATATAACAGTAAATAAAATGTGCTATTAATTTTTCTGTTTCTCACTTGGTTTGTTTCTGGTATGATTATGTCCACTTTTGACTTAAGGAATTTTGTGTGGATAATACTCTCACTAAGTTGTAGCTTACCATAAATTATGAGATATTTTTGGTAATTATAATTTGTAATAACATTTAGACATAGATTTTATTTGAAAAAGCTACTTGAAAACTTCAGCAAATGTCATAGATATAGTGATATATATACAGTTTTTCCTGAGAATATATAATATTTAATTGTCATAAAGATTTTTGGAAGTCTTTCAAAATACACTTAACATTCTGAGAACATACTTCTACTTTATTTCCGTAAGGCTGAAGAACTTTTATTTATAAAATGT